GGACTGGAACTGTTTATCACCTGGAACTAGATCACTTAATTATTCAGCTTTTTACAGTACAAAATTTTTCTGAGTTTTTATTTTTTAAGCATAGCTATATCGTTAATTACATATTTTATTTATTTTTTATTTATTATTTTTATTAGCTATGTTTATATTTTTATTCTTTTATCTCTTCTTGATGTGTAATAGCGTTGAAGAGTAATAAAGTAGATGTAGATGTAGGGAAAGCATTCTGCTTCCTTAAGTTGCTTACCATCGGCTGAAATAACAATGGAATCGATTCTACGTAGTCTCGAGTTACTAACTTTTAGCATAAATTGGGACTTCTTGATGTTAAGAGTAAGTTGATTAAGTTTCAACCAGTCACATACTTGTCTGAGGTCCGAGTCCATCTTAGTTTCGATTTCTGAAATAAGTCTGGAGGAAAAATATAAAACGGTGTCATCAGCGTACGAAGTAATGCTACAAGATTCAAGAACGTTTGATGAGTTATTCATATAAATTATAAACAATAGCGGGCCCAAGATTGAGCCTTGGGCAACTCCGACAGATACTGTGTCTGGGTCAGACTGAGCTCTGCCACAGCAAGTAACTTGGTTTCTGTTGGAAAGGAAAGAATCAAACCAGTTCTGTGCAGTATCATCCAGACCAAAGCGAGACAGTTTACGTAGCATCAATAGCAGGATGGAGTGATTCACGGTGTCGAACGCCTTTGTCAGATCTAAAAAGACGGCCCCCGTAACAGTGCCGTTGTCCATGCCGAGGAGTAACTGATCAATAAACTATGCAGAAGCTGTGTCAGTCGAAAACCAAACTGTTTTGACGAGATTAGGTTATTCTCTGTTAGGTAGCCATAGAATTGAGTGTGAACAGCATTTTATAAGATCTTACTTAACGTTGGCAGTACTGAGATAGACCTGTAGTTGGACGCGTCCTGTTTGTCACCTTTCTTAAAAAGGGGTATGAACCTCACGTTTTTCCAAACGGAAGGAAAAGTTCCTGTTTGTAGCGATAGATTTTATGACGTCAACGAGGGCGCAATAATATGTCCAGAGTCCTTAAGCAGGCGGGCACTGATTTTATCTAACCCTGTAGCTTTATTGTGTTTTAAACGCTTGATAGCGTCCCTGACAAAACTTTCAGATATCAGCCGGAAAGAAAACCCGGAACCAGTGATATTAAGATTGACCTCGGGCTGGTTAGAGAACGACAAGTCCGGAAATTTTTCGGCAAGTTTTCTGCCGATACTTACAAAAAAGGTGCTCAAAGCAGTAGCAATTGACTCGTCACAGGTGACAACTGCGTCATCTACTCGTAGACTACAGATGTTTATGGAGGTCTTTGACGATGGTAGAGTCTTTTTAAGTGCTTTCCAAAACCCTTTAGCATTTCCTCGATTTTCTTGAATCAGATTGGAATAATAGTCTGATTTAGCTTTCTTAATGTCGCAGTTGACTCTGTTTCTTAGTAGTCAGTAAACGCGCCAATTTCGACTGTTCTTGTTTTCTTTTGCTTTCTTGAGATGATAATCGCGCTTTCTCATTTCATTAGCGATGGTTGAAGTCATCCACGGGACTGACGATCCTCTAACTCCTCGGGTTTAGTTGGTGCGTGGGCCTCAACAACGTCCAAGAAGAGCTTATTCCATGTATTAACACAGTCGTCCAGGTTGTTGGTGTTATTAAAAACGACATGCCGGGGAATATTCTCAAGATTTTCATGAATATGAGTGAATATAGTTTATATCTGACAACCTGCAGCCCAGAGGCTGAATTACGGGTGCAATGTAAGGTTGAGAACAGACGTCAGCATATTAGGCGCCTCTGGCAGCCGCTTCAGTCTATCGATCTCACCTTCCCACCCATCCCACCCCAGGGGAGGACATCCATCACACAGTAATCTCGTGCGTGGGAAATTAACGTCTCCTACCCCAACCCTATTGAAGCGCTCAAGGTTCTTGCCCAAAAATGTCCTTTTAAAGTTTTATTTTAGTGTAATATTACCTTCTGTGAAGTATGGTATTATATTATGGGGTTCGTGTACAAATTCGGATCTTCTGTACTCAATTGAGAAACTTCACTGCAGAGCAGCAAAAATTGTCTACAACTTCTCCAAAGATACGGAATCTAATGTAGCTCTCGACGTTTCAGGATGGGATACGATCAATTTAGAATACAAATTTTAAATAGTTAACCTTTTTTATAGAGCAAGTAAAGTCTCACTACCTCAGTCTCTAATTAATAGTATATTCATAAGGCGAGAATGTAGCTATTCATTAAGAGACCAAAAAGCAATAACCACACCTAGATTCAACACTAGATTGTTAAAGGACTCTTTAGTATATAGAGGTTCGGTGTTATGGAACTATGTAAACCATCATGTCAAGCTTTACAAGCTTTACTTTTACTAGTTTATCAGGTTAGACGGCCAGGAATAGGTTAACTGATTACAAGTATTTTCAAGTTGAGAGGAAAATTGAATGTTTTATTGTATTATAGTTTCTTATTTAGTTTGAAAAATGTGTCTTAGTATAATCATAAGTTTGCTAGATACTATTTTGTTAAGTACACGACCCCACAAGTTTTCAGCTTTAGTTCTTATCGTGTATAAATAAAGATTCTATTCTATTCTATTCTATATCGGGGCCTTTGTTGTTACACATAACAAGATTTAGTTGGTCGATTTTGCCGGTTAAACTTCTAACATTGAGATGTGCTATAGACAGGCAATTGGCTTTGATACTGAAGGATGGAACATCAAAGTCCACCTGGTTTAGAGGACCAGGCTGAGACAAACGTCGCCCGCCAGACAGAATGATGGCAGCTGAAGCATAGAAAGTCAGCTGCGTTATCTTCAAAAATTTAGCTAACTTCGTTGAAGTAGCGCCATTTTGCCAGGCGATGTGGCGACTTCTCTGTTGTCGTAAATTTCCAGCAATTTCAGCCCTGCAGCTCTCTTTTGAAACAAAATACACATCGCTGTCATTTAGTGAAGTGTTCGTCTGTAGATGTAAGGACTTGTAGTTTGAAAAAGACACATAGATGCAGAGAAATATACAAACATTCGCAGAGAGCCTAAATTTGCGACCGACCGCCATACTCTCACTAGTCAAACATGTTAATACTCAGGAAAGAACACAGTATCGATACCAAACATTGAAACATCTCCATCATTTTGTTACAGTTTTGTTAAATGTAATTCCCAAAATTGATGCTCTACCAAGAGCACTCACTCTAGCTTTATAATGTTGCAGAGGTTTCAGAGATTTTTATCTTAGAAACAATATGAACTAATGAACAGTAATATTGCTTCAATCTATTGATTTCTGACAACTCCCCTTGGTTGAATATTTGGCAACAAACTATGACTTGGTACCAATAACAGATAAAAAAATCTCCTTCTCCTTGCAGTTAAAGGCATGTACATTACCTACTCAGGGTTCGTAAAAGCCTTGAAAGTCCTTGAAGATGCTTGAATTTAAAATTAAAAATTCAAGGCCTTGAAAGAACTTGAATTTGAGGACTGAGGCTTGATTTTTGCAATGCTTTTATTCAGCAAATTTTCAAGTTGAAAATTACCCTACTTTCATGGAAAAGCTGAGAAATGACAATAAATAAGTTTAAACTTGCTTATGCAAATCTTTCCAAAAGTGGTCCTTCAATTTTCTAAAAGTTAGCCTTCAAAGTCATTGAAAAGTCCTTGAATTTCAACCTTTGGCATCTGTAGGAACCTACTCCTATATGGTAATATATTGTTTTGATTGTTGTCTAAGACCTTAACGGCATTCATAACACTCCATTAGACAAATATAAACACAAGTAGACTTATTCATGACGAGCAATGACGAAATTGCATGACGACAGTATCAATGGAAATATGGCAGTCTCCTAAAGATAACTCCAAATGTGCGATGTTGAAAGCCCGAGTTCACGCAGACATGCGTCTAGTCAAAAGAGTAAAGTGCGCTGCCAACAGATTAACGCTACATTTCAGTATAGAAATCTCGAACGAATTATTGTTACTTGCTGTTTTCCGCTGACCACTTATCAATTGTGATCCTTCCGTCTACTACTTCCGTCTGAAATCTTTCACGGTTCAGAGTTGTCACTTCCACGCTCCATTTTCGGCGGCGAAAACCTTCCAGGATGTCCAAATACAATGTGAATATACAAGAATGCGCGGTTGGCGATAATTCGAAATTGACCATTGGGGCGACCGACGGTAAGATTCCAAAAGACATGCATTCTGTTGGAAATGAAGTCTTCGATCGGTGCTTCGAAACATGGACCAAAATAATTCATACCTTGTGGCTAGTTCAAAGCATAATGTTTATCTTTCATTTAATTTCCGTATAGTTGATATAGTGTAAAGTCCGTTTCGATGTAGTTTAAAATCAAAGAAAATCGATTGAGTATCAGGCTATATCTGTTGTCCAAGATCTGCCATGTTACCAGTCTACAAAACCGTAGTGCCTCTTTCTTCGCTTAATTTTCCGCTTATATGTTAATTTTTCAACATAACTTCATTTCCTGCTATCCCTCTTGAACTACATCATCTAAACTAAAACCCTGCTGTTGCAATACGCAGTTTTTATTCATTCACTTAAAGTCGGAAAGATCGGAAGGAGTTTATACTCCAGAAATTAATTAATACGGAGTCACTTATGATACCCTTATTTTGTTCTGCACCTAGGCCTTTAAAGTTTCTTTTCATACGTGTTTCTGTTAGACCGGTCCATTATAATCAAGGGAAGCTCAAAAGTGAAACTGAAATTGAGAAAATCCCTGTCCAATTCCAAAAATAGCAACAACTTTGTGAAAGGGGATTTTTTTGTTGAGGGTTGTATCTGTGTGCGTGTGCTTCATGGTTCAGCTTCTTTTGAGATCTCTTGCCTAGGAAAACTGATTCTTCACAAATTGAACACAGTTTTCCATCGTTTATTTAACAAATAGATTCCATGTTGCTGTGCGTCTGTCTAGCAATAGATCACAGATCATGTGCCAAACTGTCAGTGATTATAAGAACAAAAGAGTGGTACACAAGGCGGGCCGTGTGACTCATCGATGTTCTTAACAAATTTTTTCTTACCACAGTTTGCCATCGTTTATTAAACAAATAGATTCCTTGTTGCTTTGCTTTTCTTCAATAATAGATCACAGATCAGATGCCAAAATGTCAGTGGTAACAACAAAAATGTGATATGCAAGGCATTGCCAAGTGTGTCAGTGATGTACTTACCACATTTTGATGTCTGATAAATAACTGTAAAGACCCTTCACAGATAGCATGGAATCTATTTGGCAAAAATGCAAAATGTTGTTACTGATGACCTTTTCTTTGCATCTATCCTCCAATAGCTCATAGATAAGAACCAATCAAAATGCATGCATAAGTTGCCTTATTGGTCATAAAAATTACACCAACAATGCTCAAGTTTAAAGGCCCAGTCAATGGGTTTCACTGAAAAATGTTGAAAGTTGTAGACATCATTTTTATGATCCATAAGGTGAAAGACAATGGAAATTTGTGGTTGATTTGTTTTTTAAAAAAGGTTGAAATTTTTACACCACCTTAATGCAGGAAAGTTTTGGGGAAAACGTGCGTGTGACAATATCAACAAAGAAGAAAAAGTGCGCCATCAATCAATTATCATTGAAGCAAAGACTTAGTTGTTTTTTTTTTTAATAAATATGATAGCTTGCCCAAAATAACAACTTGGTATCAAATGCATTTTTTATGTGATGAAGCAGGGATTGTGGAGCAAAACATTGGATATTTTGTCATTTTTATTATTTATAACCTTCTTCAAAATGTAGGAAGCTATTGTTGGATGTTTAACTGATAGTAGCAATAGATTATTACAAAATTAATTTGATTGACTGACTTTTTATCTTTATTAGGAGTACCAAGACAAGTGCCTACCCTAAAGCAAGGAGCTAGAACTAAACCCAGCTGTAAGTCGAGTTCACCTGTTTAGTTTACCTTTTCCAATATCTGTTTCCTGGGCTGTCTGCACTACATTTCTAGATATTTAAGCCCTGAAAAAATTCCAACGAAATCTAACAGTAATTTCCCCTAATCAACATTTGGGGGAAATTTTTTTGTCTTCTCATTCCTCTTTTGCTTAAAACTGTATGAAGACTGTTAGGAGAAATCTGCATGAACTTGGCCTTTCAATATCCACATCTGAAGTTATCTTTAGGGGACTGCCACATTGCCAAAAGCTTTCAGTTGAATTGATCAACGCATCATTTTTTCTTCTAGCATAGTACTTTCAATTACCCTCCACCTAACAATGTCATCTGTTTGAGAATCACCGAGAAAAACTGTACCATAGTGTCTTCTTTTACTCACGACTGGTCCAATGATTTTCGATTAAAAATAGTTACCATAGGTGTTTTCAACGGGGTGGGGGTGAGTCCTCTTTTTGTAGCATCTATTTATTTATTTAATCACTTTCACCAGAGTCTGGTGAGGGTCGCACAACAGAGCGAAGCTCCAAATTAAGTGCGCCCTATATCCCACCCATCCCACCCCAGGGGAGGACATCCATCACACAGTAATCTCGTGTGTGGGAAATTAACGTCTCCTACCCCAACCCTGCAGGAGACGGGACCTCCATTTATTCGTCCCTATCCGAGAAGACTAGAATATCTAACCATTTCTTGATGTTATAGAAAGGTAGCAAATTCTTCTCAATTATTTTAAGACCCTGAGTATCTCTGCTTTTCAATGAAACACTCTTCCAAGGTAACATATTCTTTATTATCTAATGAACAAGTTTTTAAAAGTGTTATTCTCGTGGCCGAAAATCCGTAAAAAGGGAACAATCAAATGTGTTTTTGTGATTGAACATATTTTGACCTTGCATGACAAACGCTTGAGTATGTTGAATTCACAGCGGTATCAGATTGCTTCCCGTCCTCAACGTCTTTGGCAAAGAACATTTGACCTGCTGTTATAAATGAATGAATGAAACTCACGTTTACCCTGTAACTTTCTCAAGACTTATGGGTGTTCGAATACGCAAAGAAAAACAGACGCCCTCCTAGCTTGCGGAATGTGTTTTGCCATGGGAAATGGATGAGAATTTGAAACGAGAGTAGAGATAAAAACCAATCTGCCGTGGTTACCTATACAAGGCTAGCTTACTCTACTGATTTCCAGATCGAACACGGTGCTACCTTCTAAAATATGTGCCTGGAATTTCGGATTTAACCACGGGGTGCCTAATTAGATTATGTCGTGACGTAAATGACGATGTTGCGATTTTCACTGAGGTCAACTTGCATTGGTTTTCCTGTGCGGAGATGAAAAGCCCCAAATTAATTTTTAAATCCTCGGAAACAACACCATTTCCACTTATCATGAGCTTAACCTGAACCGACTTTGAGTTTTACCGCATGGGGAAAATGATAATTGAAAATTTGTTACGGAATGCGATATTTGGATTTTGAAATATTGGTGATTTTTAAAAGCGTTCCGTGAGCTCAAAATTAAATGAAATGGTCCCATCCCTCTTTTACAAATTTGTGGAATTGATACGGGCTTGCTTTCTTTTGCGATTTTCATCAATACAGTTCACTTGCCTCTACTCTGGGCACTGATTTCCGTCCATTTACGGCCACCGATGCTCGTTTCAGTTTTCGTGAATTTTCTAGGACCAAGAAGCAAGTCTGGAAAAAAAAGATCTTACCACGTTTCTAAGTTCACTACAAGGTATCTCTGGGAAAAATACGAAGGTTTTCAATTTTTCGGTCATGTGCCATATTTTTCGATTTTCACTCGGTCAATTCAAACATTCTCTCTAAATCCCCAGTCTACATTTTGTACCCAGTCTGCAGTCTACAGTCTGCATTTTGTACTGACCGGTTACATAATACATTCGCAGAACTAGAAGCTGCGGAACAAATTAAATTTCGGTAGTGTCGAAAACGAAGCCCCCGAAAACGAAGACCGAAGACCGAAGCACCCAAATCTCAAAAACGAAGCACCCAAATCTCGAAAATGAAGCACCCAAAACTCGAAAATGAAGCACCCCCAAATCTCGAAAAAGAAGCACCCAAAACTCGAAAACGAAGCACCCCCAAATCACAAAAATCGGAAATGATGAAGCCACCTCAAAATCAGACTTTTCCTAGTACTATTTCTGATGGTTTCTTCTGATTATACATCACCTAAAGAGCATCTGCTTCACGGGATACAAGTAATAATAGAAATGAACAAATGCTGGTCCACCAGCATGGCGGCGATGACGTAACGAGAAAAACACCAATATGCTCAGATTTCAGTCAAGTCTGCCTTTGCTCTTCAGTTGGTAGGTAGTTTGATTGCTAGAAACCAATGGTTTAAAAAAGTGCCTTAAAAAAATTAAATTAAAAATGTCTTAAAACAAGAATGAGTGCTTTAAATTATGAATTTCTGGCCCGACCAACGAGAATAGAAGGGAAAAAACTTTTATTGCGTTGTAAAATAGGTCATAAAATGTGTCATTAACGAACAATGCAATCACTGACACCGGAGATCGTGAGGTGCGTAGGTGAGCAGAGTGATAAATATATATATATATATAAATATGGTTGATGCTTTCACTAAAGCTTCCCGCAAAAAAATAAACTCACTTAATAGTTGACCTTTAGCCGCATATCTAGACTATCAAAAAAGTGCTTCGTCCGATTTACTATGGCGCGGGGTGAAGGCTAGTCTCCTTCGCAGCCGCTAGGGCCGGAGTCACGCAACGCTCCCCGTCCCCACGCGGCTGCTTCAAACCGACATACATTCCTTTCTCGGAAATGAACCAATCAATGTTTGGCTTTCATTTTCTTGCGAATGTTCGCGCCTTAAATTTCAACCAATCACCTGGCTCCTTTTATGGATCATATAATGGCGGATCTCGAAGAAGCTTTCAATCTTGTAGCGTCAAAATTCGGCATACAGGCTTTAAATTTGCATCAGCAATTAGCAATGTCGAAGTTAATTGAAAGGAAAAAGGATATTTTCGTTAATTTGCCGACTGGCTTCGGAAAATCTCTGATTTTTCAAGCTTTGCCGTTAGTCATCGACCACGTATCAAGTCCACATTTGTGTTGTTGTGTCACCTTTTCTCACTCTAGTGGATGATCAAGTGGAATATTTGAGAGGCAAGGGAGTTACAGCGGCGAACATTAGCTCTTACACTGAAGAAGAGGCGACTTTGATAGAAAAGGGAAAGATTTCTGTTGTCTTTGGCTCCCCAGAAGCTTGGATTCAAAACGAACGGTGGAGAACAATGCTTGGAAATTCTGTGTATTCCAAAAAATTATGTGCTTTGGCCATCGACGAAGCCCACGTAATAAGGCAGTGGTAAGTGGAGTCTGTATATATATATGCTTAAAGTTTCTGCTTAGCACTCCACTTATAAAATTTTAATCTTGCTTTGCAATGCAAATTGATCAAATACCATCCTTTTCATTGTTTTGCTGCAGTTTAAATTTTTGATGGTTATTGGTTTTTCTTTTACAGGGGGACATCCCAAAGCAA